AATGGGCCACAACAACAGCGTTACAAACCTGTTGCAAATCAAAAGTAACATAAATGGTATGCTAGTCATTTAAAATAAAGCTTAAGCTTTTCTCCATTAAAATCAACCAAAACCCAATTAATTCGGAAGCATTAACATTAAAACAGGAAGGTGAGAGGTGGTCAAGAGGACCTTGACCGAGAAGGATGGGAGATGTCAAAATGTCATTGTGAAAGGTGAGAGGTGGCATCCGTGCAAAGCAAGGATAACTCCTTCGGTCATGATGTTGTTTGCAAAGGTTGTTCTTTGAATGTAGTGATTCAATGCCTTGTTAGTTACAAAATAAATTTTTTTTTAATTCAATGTTGCAGTTACCTTTTAAGAACTCCAAAGAATATGTTTGTAAAAGGTGAATTGATAGTTTAGTTTTTTCTTGGTTATCTTTACGTAGGCAGAGAATTCACATTACTCTTTTGCATGAATTTAAGTTGAGTAACTCATTTTTTTTTTTTTTGGAAATACGTAACTCATTTTTCTTCTTGTGTCATTGTCTCGATGTGTGTGCATGGTGGGTTTATTAAGGTGTTAATAATGCATGTTACAAAGTAAAGGTGGTAGGTTTGTTAATTTAAGGTGTTAATGAATGCATGTTACAAAGTAAAGGTGGTGGATATGTTTTTTTTTTGTGTTTCACGGATGTTGATACAAATTTTATAATATTTTTGTCTTGTTCCAAGTTAGAGTTGATACAAGTTTTATAATATATTTTTGTGTGTGTCTTGTTCGTAGTTACTATTAACATGTAATAGTCAGTGTGTCATCTTACAAGGGCTTAGGTATTCAATTAACATATAGATATTAAACAAAGTGCGGGGAATGTGGGGCCGGGGATGACTCTTAGAAAACAAGATGTATTACATTATTATATTCATATCATCTTTCATGTGGCCACATAAGACAACATTCATAGCTTATTATAGGAATGTAATTCATGATTGAAAATATCTCTCTTATCAAGCATAAAAGCTTTAACTTAGCTGTCCACGTACATAACTTCATAGCATAAATAAGGTCTCTTTATACGAAAAAAACAGTATCACTTGCATATTGTATTTCTTAAGTCACAATCCGATTTAAAGCATATATATATATATATATATATATATATATACTCAAGATAAATATGTAATTTAAGAACTTCAAGGCTATATAGCTGTAACAAAAAATTAGCTAGGGAAAGAGAATAAAGTCTCCACAGTTTACATGCTTACATTTAATTTTAAATGGGTTGTCACACATAATATAAACAATTGTTAAATTTCAGGCACATGTACCATTAGGTGCCTAATTAAACAGAAGCAGGGGCGAAGGGTTCCAGCCAGAAATCTTTTGGTTCACATTTATTCTGTTCCATACATCACACTAAGTCAGAGTTAATGAGAATTTGCTCTGAAGAGAAATAATTGGAACTCAATCTATAACTAATAACTAACCACAGATCCCAATACTATATAGAATATGACACTGCATATAATAGATATATGACTTACTTGATAAAGAGTTCTGAAAACGAACCCGAGACAATCCGTCCAAAAAAGCCCCAAATACTGGTTAATGAGACAAATAGTGAGACATCAGTGTACCCGAGAGCCAACCCCATTTGACCTATATTGTTCATGACGGCCAAACCCGTTCCAACACCGCATAGAAACGACACAAACAATATCCAAAAATCCATGCTCCTAATTGCCTCCAGTATCGTATGCTCCTCCCAAATCACCGGTGCCCTCTTTACTACCCGACAATGGGACTTTCCAGGGAAATGCAGCGGACAAGATTGAAAGAGGAATAAGAGAGAGAAAGAGAGTTGCTTCAGGTGTGCTATTTCACATTGCTATGGCCATGGCCGATGAGGAAGAAAAGAAATTTAAGAGGAAAGTGAAATTGTAAAAGAGGGCAGCTTAAAATTATTGGGGGAAAATAAAAATTTAGCAAAAAAAAAAAAGCGGGAAATGGCTCTACGCATTAATATTAATTTTTACTTTTAACTTTGTACATTATTATTAAATTTTCTAAAACTTAAGATATTAACAAAAAAATAATGAAGGATAAATTTTAAAAAATGAAGGATAAATTTCAAAATATTGGAGATAAATTTTAAAAAGCGGTATCTGCACTTTTCGCCAGAAAAGCGACTTTCAACATTATTACTCACTTACTATAATTATTAGAGCCTCATAATAATTATTAGAGCCAATTATGGAATTATTTCCTAATTTCACATAATTAATTAATTAACTTCCATAGTTAACGGTGTGGGTCCTTAATGAAGGATAAATTTCAAAATATTGGAGATTTTTATTTTTATAAAAATTAATATATTTTTTGGACACAGTGATCAACATATTTCTATAAAAAGTAATATCATCTGATATATTTGGAAGAATTATGTAAATTCATTATTAAAAGGTATTTTTGACAAAATTATTTATTTTTAACCTATATAGTATTATACAGTGTATTACCAAATATTGTATGATATTATCTTATATAATATATTATCTTATATAATATATTATCTTATACAATATCATGTCAAGCGCTGGATATTATTAAAATTTAATCATGTCTTATACAATCATGTCTTATACTATCAGGTCTTATTCTATACTATGTACCAAACATGCTCTTAATGTTAGAAAATTTGTTATGTAGCATTGCTTTCCCTAGTCAAATAACTCAAATTTTCCATGCTCTAGACTTGATTTGAGAGTCAATTATTGTGATATTAGTATTATAAATCACGTATTGTAGCTTTTTTAATAGATATATCCAATGTACATATATAATGTAGCAATAACACTTCAATACAATCTTAGTCCCTAAATTTTTCCCAATTTGGTGTTGGGAAATCAGTTCCCTCAAGCTCGGCTCAGAAGTCTTTCGCGGAAGTCAGTCAACAAGATCCTGGATCTCGGATCTCGACAATATTACCTCGGCTTGAACTTCACCAGGTCGGGCAGCGCAGCGAAAAAACGAAAAACACAAAAGAGAAGAGAGAGGAGAACACAAGCAGTTTTAACGTGGGAAAATCTTCTTCATTGAAGAAGTAAAAACCCATGGGACCTAGTCCAGATCAAACGTCCACTATGAGAATAATGGATACAAAGAATCAAAATACACCAATGTGGTGGTTAACACAATCTCTCCAACAATGGTGATAATCAAACTCTCTCTAGAGATCTCTCAAACAACCTCTCCAACAATGGTGATAATCAAACTACCCTAGAGATTTCACTCAAACTCTCTCTAGAGATCTCTCAAATACAAAGCTCAAAGCTTTGCTCACAAATCCCTCAAATAAAATTCTCTCATTCTAATATAGCATCCACCCACAACTAATGAATATATAGAGGAGATGAGATCTAGGGTTTAGGATTTTTAGAAAATCCTTCAATGGGCTTGGGCTTAGCATTGAAGGAAAAAGCCCAACAGGACATATTATTTTTTGTTTTTCATTCCTATTAGGGACAGAATTTGTTCAGTTTTTCGTCCCTACTAGGGACGAAATGTTTTTTGTCCCTGTTAGAGACGGATTTAGGGACAGAATATTTTTCGTCCTTATTAGGGACAAATTTAGGAACGGATTTTAGATACAACCTCCTAATTCTATCCCGACTTGGGACGGAATATTGTCTGTCCCTATTAGGGACGGAATTAGAGACGAATTACAGAAATTGAAACTTTTGCGTCCCTAATTCCGTCCCTAATAGGGACCGAATATTTTTCTATCTCAAAATTCGTCCCTATTAGAGACATAATTTATTTTATCACTAGTTCTGTCCCAAATAGGAACGAATTGTTTTTCCGTCTCTAAATTCGTCCCAATTAAAGACGGAATATTTTTCGTCTCTAAAATCTGTCTCTGATATCAGACTACAAAAGTTCGGGTAAAATCACACACAATTGAACTTGGCATAAATAGGTGTAATTTGATTTAGTAACCGGATGTGAAGGGATCACTCCTTCAATTGCGAGAGATAGTGTTGCAGGTTGGATCATCGATGCCACAAGTGAGTGTTCTGATTGGAGCTGGAGGGGGTAGATACCTTCAAGGTACTTTGACGCTCAAATCAATATTTGAATAATGAACTTAAGCTAGTATAATGGGAAAGATTAATGTACATGGGTCTTGTCCTTTCTATTTATAGTATGCGGCATGACTTGATCGCCATTGTGTGGCAATATGGCTAAAATGCACTACTAAAAAATGCTATTTTTTCAAAGGAAAAATTCCATCGAAAATGACATATCGCTGTGCCCAATCGAAAAGCAAGAAACAAAAGGAGAAGCAAATGGAGGTGTGTGTATGCATGCAGTAACCACGAATAAAAACTAGGGTCCTAGAGAACATGCTTGTGAGTTTGAACCCATTAATTCTTCCTAAAGGTGGACTAGACCCAATTTGTCTAGTTAGAACTGGCCATAACATGAGTTCAGAACAAATACAAAATATTAAATTGCATCAGTTAAAAGATTTTTCTTATTCCATTAGAAATATCGAATACTTAAAAATCTCTCCCTTTTTTAATCTATTCTCCGTTTCTATATTGTTTGTCTTTGTTTTGCTGTTGTATTGCATATCTGTCGTATTGTTTTTCTTATTATATAACCTGTATATGCTAATAATTTTTTATGGCGAGACTTTCAAGTTTTAATTTAATGAACATCCTTACGTACGTGATCTTCACTCGTGATTTTCCTCCCAAACTCACGCATATTACCTGTAAGTTGTATTGGTTTTGTTATTATATACTAAATATATGTACTAACAATTTTTTATAGTTTAGGGCATAGTGCATGCAGTATACAAAATATTTTTTTTTATATCAAACTAAACTGCGATGCAAATAAGCCAAAATTGTCTACCCGGTTTTGAAGGGGGAGTCACGTGACCTTTGATTAGAACTAAAAAAATTTCTATATAAAAGAAACTAGCTAGATTAGGCAACAACATAACCATGGATTACCTTACTCATCTGTTAATTTCTTTTGTGTTCTTGGCAAGCATTCATATCCTCATCTCCATCTTAGGAAGAAAAAACATCAAATCTCGAAAACAAGCACCAGGGCCTCGCCCTTTTCCTATAATTGGAAACATCTTGCAACTTGGTAGTCAACCTCACCAGTCACTTGCTAAGCTTTCTCAAACCTATGGACCTATAATGAGTCTCAAGTTAGGGAACATAACCACCATAGTGATTTCCTCTCCCCAAATAGCCAAAGAAGTATTACATAAACATGATCAAATCTTCTCTAGCAGGACAGTCCCAGATTCTGTCAGAGCACTTGACCACCACACATTTTCAGTGGCATGGCTACCTCCTTCACCTCAATGGAGGACCCTGAGGAAAGTTTGTGCCACTAAAGTGTTCTCTTCCCAGAAACTTGATTCTACAAAAATTCTACGTCAAAGGAAGGTGCAAGAACTGCTGGATTATGTAAAGGAAAGCTGCAAGAAAGGTGAAGCTTTGAATATTGGTGAGGCTTCCTTTGTGACCGTGCTTAATTCCATATCAAACACTTTCTTCTCTATGGATTTGGCTCATTTCACTTCTGATAAGTCTCGTGAGTTCATGGACATTATTTGGGGTATCATGGAAGATGCTGGAAGGCCTAATGTTGTTGACTTTTTCCCAATCCTTCGCCTGCTTGATCCACAAGGTGTGCGAGCCAAAATGAACGGTTACTTGGGGAAGTTAGTTGCGTTTTTTGATGGTCTTATAGAAGAAAGGTTGCGCTTAAGAGCTTCAGAAAATGAATCCAAGGCATGCGATGATGTGTTAGATTCTGTGTTGGAAGTCATGCTAGAAGAGAATTCGCAATTGAGCCGCCCTCATGTGTTGCATTTATTTATGGTGAGTGTATCTTGATCCCCAATTCAAGGTCTTTCTTGTTGAATAAATAAACTTGATTTAGTTTTTTGGTCCATTGGACTTAGTATGCATTTAGCACAACATCTAGAATTAGTTTAGCCTAAGATGTAGAAATTTCTATTTTAGTCAATTCTATGAAAGTTCTAGAAAGTAGTTGCACCTACCATTATTAATAAGGGTCGTTGCACCTACCACAATTAATATTTGTACTAGGTTAGTATAGAAAACTCTAGAATTATTTGAAGCCATTGTTTTGTGGAGGTGTCATTAGTATAAATAGGAGTCATCTCCATCATTTAATATCAAGCCAAAAAGAAAAAGAATTGTATAGCAATAAAAATGTTCACTTCCTCCATATCTTTCTATACCCTTTACTTTTCTCAAAAATACTCCTCCCGACATTTCTCTACCCAAAATTCAAAGAGATACCTTACTTTATGGGGGAAAATATATAATTAATTCTATATAAGACAAACATGTTCAGAACCAGCTTTTGCAACCCAATATTATATATGGACTGGTCTGAAAAGCATATTAAGGGATCACTTATCTGCCTTTTTTTAGTGAATATGTAGATCTCAACTTAACTCTCTGTACAGTTCACCACAGTATATGATTAGTGGTGCACTACATGTAGACTCATTTTCTCTGTTATCATTAGATAGAGAGTATTTCTCATTTATATATGCCCTTTTTCATCCATAAGAAAGACATCTTGCATTCATATATTTTATGAGTTATTACCGCGCTGAGATCTAGAATCATCATACTCTTACAAATTTCCCCTCAATTATACATGAGATAACACCTGCGAGTAACTCTCCTACAGCTTTGTTCCATATTATTATCTCCTTGAGCATCTTATACTTATTTCACTCCTTAAGTGATACAAACCTAGCTTTATTCCACAACAATTCACAACATAAAAAAAGAATATCTAATTTTTTGTGAAGTGATAGAGTCATGATCATTTACTAGACACATATTGAAGGTGCTATTATTAGGCTATAAGTATTCCAATGGTGCATGATTGCATATTGGCTTCAACTTAGCATGAAAATGTAAAAGTAGATTTGAGGAACCGTAAGAGTATATAGCAGGCTAGATTTGATCCATCAGTCCTTCACCTTCTCATCCCTCTCTAAGGGTAAAATTTTATTTTAGTCATACATTGGTTATTAATATAGGGAAATATTATTCTTATGCAACATAAGATAACATTTTTTTCCTACACACCCATTGATTTCCGTGTAGTTTAATTTATAATTTTTTATTTTTTATAAGTGAGTGGGCCCCATCCATAATTGTGTCTATGGTAGGAGATAACACTCTCCTACAACATGAGATTACTAAAACCCATTAATATAAGGGTTATATTACTCTCTTATTGCACGAGAGTAATATAACTTCCTACAAATCCATCGATTTTGTATCTTTCTTTTTTTCCTTTTTTCCTTTTTTAATAAATAGTGAAGCCCCACCACATGATTATATCTGTACCATAAGATAACTTATCTCCTATTGCAACCCTTATTATAATCTCGATCTTATATTCTAAATTTAACGATTTATTTCCTCAAAAGCCAAATCCCTTGTTTTAGTCTACATATTATTCCCCTTGATTATTTGGATGATCGAATCCAAACTTCATTTAATATTTATTTCTTTCTTTCTTTAAAGGAACATAAACTTCTAACTCAATTTGTCAGTGAATCATTATAGACATTTCATCTTATATGATTTATTTAATTAATCATATCAGGATTTATTTGTGGCTGGAATAGACACAACAACAAGTACAATAGAATGGGGGATGGCCGAGTTGCTACACAACCCAGAAAAACTAGAAAAAGTTAGAAAAGAGCTTCAACATGTACTTGCCAAAGGTGAACAACTTGAAGAATCACATATCTTAAAGCTTCCTTTCCTACAAGCAGTTGTGAAGGAAACTCTACGTTTGCATCCACCAGGCCCATTCTTAGTGCCACACAAGTCAGAAGTTGATGTTGAACTATGGGGCTACATGGTGCCTAAAAGTGCACAAATTCTGGTTAATGTATGGGCCTTAGGGAGAGATTCAAGTATTTGGACAAACCCAAATGAATTTATGCCTGAAAGATTCTTGGAGAGTAACATTGATTTTAAAGGCCAAGATTTTGAGTTGATTCCCTTTGGAGCTGGAAGAAGGATATGCCCTGGATTGCCATTAGCCTTTAGGTCCGTGCACATTGTGTTGGGCTCTCTTCTATATGGCTATGATTGGAAGCTCGCGGATGGGTTAAAGGCAAAGGACATGGATATGTCTGAGAAATATGGGTTGTCCTTGCATAAGTTCAAACCTCTTAAAATCATTCCCATAAACGCATAAATAATAAGATTATATGTATATTACTGGGTTTGGTCTTCACCAGTAAAAGAAGACGTGGTGCTTTTATATTTTGATTAGATACGTTTTCTTTAATCGTTATGATAATTATTAATTATAAATGTTACGAATTTTATTTCTTTGTATTTTTCTTCCTATTAAGTAAGATGCCTGAAAATAATATTCAATCATCGAAGGTGTTATAGGTTCTCTTTCGAGCTTCACCAATTGCAATATTCTTTTTCCATGATTATTATTCTTGTCTAATAAATATGACCGTGGTGATTCTAACAATGGTAAAGCTCTTCTTTTACAAGTTAGAATTGCCTATAAGGATTTTCCTCTCCGCTACTTTTACAAGTTGAGATTTTATTAGGAGTGGTATTGTTTTCATCATTTTTTGTTTTAGATATATTGCAATTTTTTTTTCTGCTGTTTAAAACCCCAAAGGTTTTCTTGCTACTTGAGGTATATTTTAGTCTTTCTTGTGCCGATTTTGCTGTTATAAGATATATTAAATTTCCACTAATACAGAAAGAAACGTTTAAGTTAATAGCCATTTTTTTCATTTTTATTAAACTAATAATAAACAAGTTTGGCCATATACCATTGATATGTCTAAGTTCATTATTATAAGAGAAAAATATTATTTTATTCATAAAAGATACATGTTTCTTAATTTGGTCTTTTCATTTAACCAATAAGTTGTCCGATTCAAAATATTTTAAGCATGCACCACTGATTCGGTGCGACGGACCAATTAAAATGAGATATTTTTTGTGATATGTGTATGGAAAAAAAAAAAAATTAACCCAAGTATTAATTTTATGTGGCCTTTTGCAACATGGCTCTCATATCCTGTGAACATTTAGAAATGGGTTTAGTTTTTATCATGTCGTAGCATTTAGAAATGAGTTTAGTTTTTCTTATGTCGTAAAAGATAATTTCATTTTCTAGACCCATATTGAGTTTAGTTTTTCTCATGTCGTAAAAGATGATTTTATTTTCTAGACCCATATTTTCTTATTTTCTTTTTATTTCATATAACATCGTGAGTTCCATACACTTTTATATGTGTATAAAAAATAAAATTATCTACTACAACATGAGAAACATCACTTTTTAGAAATTACCAGTTGCAACCAAAATGTCAGAAAAAACAAACGACATTCCCTAATGCATAAAAGCTTGCATCAAATGGCCAATAGCATGCACCTAAAATTTTGTAGCATAGATCCCTCAACTTAAGAAACAAAATCTGTCTTGATGACTGAATGGGCCAGATTCTACCAATAGATGTATACAAATACTTATCAAACACTATACTTATTATTTATGTTGATTTTTTCTTGAGTTTAGAGAATACGAGATGTAGGAGCAAGGAAGCGAAAACAACCTATTTGTAGACAATTGAGTTATTGATTAATTTTATCCGTATGTCATTAAATAATATAAATAATCACATGCCGCTTTTCACTCCATTTATAAATCGGTATATGCTTTAACAAGGGATATTCAAATCCCCAAAGATGATAGGCAAAATGATTATCTAAAAATGGGAGATTATTTTTGGATATTCAACAAGGAATTATCTTTAATCCCCAAAGATGATAGACAAAATGCATACACCAGTATTTTATTTTGTTTTTGGTGCTACAGATCTGTATAATTAGCCTATAAAAGAACCTTAAAGCTAGCAATCCTATTCCATATTGTCATTAGATCTACGATATGGCATATATCTATGGTCCTTTGCAGCATTCCTCCTCCTCCTTTTCTCGACAAATGCTTCAAGTTTGCCAGACGACTGAAAATGGTCAAGGTGTAGAATTAGTTTTAAGAAGAAAAAAACAACAAATGACATAATGGGGATCAAGCACACCCAGAGAGACGGTCTAAAATGTATACCTTGAGGTCGTTATATTTTTCAATAAGCCTTTGCTTCCGGATTTCAGCTGCAAAGATGAAAACAAAGGTCAGCATCTATAATTGATGTTCAATTTTATGTGTTTAATATGTTTTGAGTTCATTTGTTTGGTACCACTAAACCCCCTTTTTTTTGGTTTTTGATAAAAAGTTAAAAACCACTTTAACCTCAGTTATATTCATAGGATTGTGAATGAAGCTAATTGGGAAGCAACAATGAACTAGATAGCTTTTCAATCATACTAGATCGATGTGGCTTAATATCCTACATTGTTAAATAATTATGAACTGTAACATTCCCTAGAATATTTCCCCATACGTGTACAAATTTTATAAAAGGAAAAAAAAATGTATTAGGTTAGGTGTTAGACTATTACTAGGTTTCACTTAAAAGCCTAGTTCTATCAAGAAATAGTTATTAGGACTGTTTCATGAACTATCACAAATTACTAGCATCATTATTATCAAGCACATTGCCACTAATACCACCAGTGTGCAACAAGTGAAAAAGGAATTCAAATTACTCATATGAGGAGCCATTGTAATCAAACAACATCGGATCCAGACATGAAAATGTAAACATCTCTTATAGCAAAGTAGACAAAATTTACATAAGCAGAAATTTCATTTCCAACATATGAAGAGAGAGAGCAGACTACAAGGAAGGAAGAAGCTATACATTTCTTGAGATAAAAAGGACGTTTCCCCTGCTTTGCTGCTTCTCTCTCTTTCTTCTTGTGCTTAGCCAGTATCTCTGCATCAATTTGTTTCGCTGAACCAGACTTCAACTGTTTATCCTGAAAAGACATGTAGATGTGATCAAGTAAATTGATAAATATCACACCTGAAGGTAGAAGACGAGCTTCTAACAAACAAGAACTTACAATCCATGATATACGTTCTTCTATTTCATTTATGCTATTTGGATCTTTATGTCTTCTCAATTCCTTCTTAAGAGCCTGTTATGCCCAGACAACGCAATAAGAGGAAATTCATAGAATAAGCTATAGACAAAATTGTACAATTACAATCTAGAAGACTACCTCTTTTTCAGCAGGAAGATTACTTTCAAATAAAAAATTATATCTCTTCCTAAACCTGCAAATCCAAGTATATATATCAGATAAGATACAGAGTTTCCATAATAGGAAGCAGAAGAAGCCTCCAAATTCAGTTAAAAGCACTTTCTTAAAATAAAATAGTAACAGAAAACACTTGCAAAGAATACTTCACAAGCATAATCCAGTAATAATTAAATAAAATAATAGAGAGCAAATGCTATGAGCCTAGGAACTAGGTTAGAACTATTAAATATATATAAATATTAATTCCAAGTAAATGCTACCTACTAAAAAACATGGCATTGGTAAGCAAGAACTGGCTATAGCATCACTCGGAAAGAAGATACCAAATTCCACTCCCAAAAAAACATGCTTATGTAATAGTGTAAATACAGAAATATATACATTTATCCCGCATACCTATGGAAAGACTAACATCATATCTTACAAGTTATAACATGCTCCAAGAACATGCTTGAATATGGGCATTGAATCTAATATACAATTGTCTAGATCAGAACATGAATTGGAGATTTAACAGGACTTCTTCGTCATGCACTAAAAATACATATCAGCATAATGATCCTTCAACATTATCTGAATGCTTCTTATGCATAGCAGAGACATACACTTTGATTCAGTATCTGAGGAGACTTTTGTATAGAAAAAGAGTTATCTATGACAAGAAAACAATATGAGGATTATTTTCACACTTGAGAGTGGGGAATAAAATTTCCTCACACTAAGCAAGACTTTCATGTGAAATTTGCATTCTTCTGTCCACTGCCTTAAACCTATTAACCCTAATAACTGCTTCACGCGAGTAGTAACTAGTTTTTTATTAGGATAATAATAGTTAAGGAATGAACTTGGCTAGACATGCTCTAAAATGGCAAAGGCTGCAAGAATCAACACAGCTTTACACTAGTACGAATTACTTAAACTTTGAAATGACGATTGCAACTAAAGTTACGGCATCTCTTAACACAAATCTACACTCCAGCCAAAAACAAAAAGAATAACAAAGAGAACACGTCCAGAGGTGAACATACCCGTCAGAGTCAAAGCTCCCACAAAGAGATTCAAATCGTGGATCGCGTACAACCTGAACATCATTGAAGGCATACATAATAATATGCAAAAATATCCAGATATATAAAATGGAAAGATCATATCCATAGTCAAATTCCGCCAAATGGCACAACCCCAAAAATTTGAAAACTTCTGAGTATTACATAGCAAAAAGGCATTGCTGTACTATACTTAACCCAGCTCATATCCTAAATCTATACATATGATAATGAACCCAGAGTCTTTACCACGTGTGAGGATGTGTGTGCACATGTAAAGCAAACAATAAGCAACAGGCTGCAATTGACCTTCCTCCTAGGTGCAAATAGTTGTTACAGGGTAGTAGATCTAAAATATTAAAATGCTTTGCAAGCTAATAGCCCTCATTAAATTTCGGAAGGTTAAACTATTCAACGTGTCAATGAAAAGCCATAACATAAAAATAGAAGTAGATAGCATTATACTCTACACAAGTTAAAAAAACATAAAACCACCTTTTTAGGAGCTTGGATGACCTCTCTCAAAGCAGGAACTGGCTTCCTGCTACTAGCTTCCATTGGCCTAGGCAAACATTAGAAATCGAATTATTAAAATGTGGTTTCCTGAACACCATAATTAATTTAAACGGTTAACTCAGTACCTATTCTTGTTGGCCCTTTTTAACTTTTTGTCTTCCCTTGGTTTCTGCAAAAATGCATGTGCCCCATTTGAACGTGCTTTCTGCAACTCCTCAAACGTTACATCAGCCAGCTTCTTCTCTATCTCCTCCTCCTCCTCCTATAACCATCAAAATCAAATGACACTTGCTATAAATATTGTTTTTGAAGAAACCCAAAAATAAAAATAAAAATCGTAACTTTATGATTTTCTGAAGTTACCCACATCTTCTGAGGAGCTGGAAGAAGAAGATGACTCGTCCTTCTCACTCTCCTCATATTGGGTTTCGATGGAACCTGGGATTCTGTTTTTCTGCTTCTTCATTTCGAAAAATAAATCAAATAGGTTAACCCCCAACAAAACAGATATCAATTTTACGCTCTAAACAAATTAAAAAAGTGAAACTTAAAATGCATAAATTAATCATACATATAGAAAAGAAAAATAATTGGAGGAGTACCTGAGCCATTATTTCAAGTGCAGTAAAGGGTTACGATTTCGTGAATTACCAAAAGGAAACGATTGATTGTTGCCGGCGTTATATCACGGTACTGGCGGGAATTGTTAGAACAGAGAAAATTGATAGAAACCCTAGCACGATTTCTCAAAACGACGACGGCTTGCGGTGGGGATTGGCAACAGTTCAGAGATACCGAAAAAATGATACCCAGCCCAGACCCAAAAAAAAAAAACAGAAGTGCAAAAGATGCAGCGTAGGCCCAGTCCGATTAGTGGTTTTCATTATAGTAGAGGCCCAAAACCTCAAGACTTGAAATGGACAATAAACAATGGGTTTTATTACTATAATGTTACATGATATAAGAACATTTTTCTACCCTCACAATAAAGAAGAGAGAGAAGGTGAAATGATGAAAGAGAAAAAAAAATATGTGGACCCCACCTCTTAATTGTGTGTGTAGGAAAATTTTCTTGGGTTATGTAACACGATAGTAATAAAACCCATAAACAATACAGCCTAGATAAAAGTCTAGTCTGTTCTCATATTGCATGAGATAAATTATTACATAAAACACACAATAAAATATGGGGAAAATGTTTCTGCAGTTAATACAGATAAGTTATCTGCATTTATTCTCAAAACGAAGTCGTTTTGATATTGAAATCTTAAAAAATTATAAATATAAAGACTATTATAACCCTGAAATAAATTAAAATTACAAATACACCATGATTTCCGTCCCAAAACGACGTCGTATTGGGCTTACTGCAGATAACTTATCTGCAGTAGCTGCAGAAAAAGCGAACCCATAAAATATATGGGACCCATTAAAAAAAAGAGAAAAAGAAAAAGTGGATTTCATTCACTTTTTCTGTATGGCTTTAATGTTTCTACAGTGAATGTAGATAAATTATCTACATTCGCTTCCAAAACGATGTCGTTTTAATTTTTAGGTTAAAAAATTATAATGAAAAATACTAGTGTAACCTTGAAATAAATTATAATTACAAAAATACTTCGATTTTCGCATCAAAACGATGTCGTTTTGGACTCAATGTAAATAACTTATCTACATTGACGGTAGAAAAATCGAACTCTTTCTGTATTACATGAGACAAAATTGTCTTATTCAACATTATAAACATATTTATCTTATTTTATATACATACACAGGGATAGGTTATTCTGTCTACTCTTAATTTGCATATCTCTTTCAACACCATTAGATTATAATCTCATCCAACGGTGGAGATTTTTAGTATAAAATAAATTTTTTTACTCCTTTCATTCTCCTTCCTGCCTCACAACCTTTATCTCCCCTCCTCCTTCTCTCTATTGACCAAGATAGAAACAACTCATTGTATTATAGAATTGTATTCAATTTTTCTCTTTTAAATAATAACATATGATAATGCAACTATTGTATTGTAGAACTTTAGCAATTGAATCAGCAAAACAAAAAAAAAAATCTATGACTGATCTATATCTATATAGCCCAAACCCCATAACACTCTCAACTTTCTCACGATGAGTTTACAAGATTGAGACAATTTAAATATTTTATTAAACAACTTAATGGAAAACCACATAGCAAACTTTAGGCAAACAAGGTTACATTACAATACGGTACTCTTTCACCAAATCCTAACAATTTAGCTCATACATGAAAGAAAAGAAATAGGGGAGAAAAAAGAAAGAAAAAAGATCCATGGAAACTAATATAAAGAAAGACAGAAGCGTTGATGTAGCTCTGCTCTCGTAGCAACTCCACGCGCTGCCACTCTCCACTATCTTTGAGCCACCAGAATAGTGTAGGGATCAACCAGGTCCAATGATCTCTCTATTAGACCATAGCTTCACCCCTTGACCTGATGGATCTCTCTCAATGAGGTGAGTTGAAGTGTGTTTCTGCATCTTTATTTATAGATGTGGCTGACTTGGGCTCCAAGTAATTCCTTAATTCAAATTCCCTAAAAAGTAGCTTCCTAAGAGGATTAAGATTTATCCTTTAACTCGGTTTTATCCTGTTATTAGCTGAATTTTACGAATTGGAAGTGATATGTGCCTTATCCTAATCTTGCGTAACTTCCTTATCCTGATTCTGTGTTGTAGCTCCCTTATCTCTTTGTTTGAATTTGAATTTCAAAAGTTAGATATTCCTTGTGTCTTGAATGCACCGTTTCACTTAAACACAATTGCTATAGCCCCGTTATGGCTCTGATCAGCAAAAAAAAATCTAAGATAGTGAATTGCTCCAGCACTCGAAATAACATCAATTAACAACACTTATCATATTTCTCATTCAAAATATAAAGATACAAAATTAATGCAAATATCATGTAATTCTAAGGAAATTATGCATATAAATGGCACCAAATCATCAAATAAAATCCCAAAAATAACTCTCCATAAGAGAGCTATCACACTCCAAACTCAAAACGTTGCTCGTCCCCAAGAAACAAAATATTCCTTAAAGTTAACTAACATCAACTTAGCAATATTCTGTATCAATGACTATTGTTGAGATTTTTCATATTGCTACAGCACAGTTGCATGTGATTGTTGATCTCCAACTTTTCTCCTCACTTCAACTTCAGTGTTCCTTGTTAGCTTCATCTTCTCAAAGCAATTACATGCCTTTTTGGGTTTAATGGGGTATTACATATGATTTGTGCAAGGATATGCTTCATTGGATCCCCCTTGACAGAATTGTTAAAGTATGACAAGATTAAATGGAGTCCAGAGGCAGCAGCTGCATTCTAAGCTCTGAAGGTAGCTATGTCTTTAACACCAATACTGCGTTTACCAAATTTTGCTTCTTCTTTTGTCGTAGAACCTGATGCTTCAAGCGTTGGAATGGAGCTATGCTACTGTAGGGTGGGAAAATAATCCTAAGAAGAAAAGAAAAATAGTCCTAAATCCTACTTGTTAGAGAATTATATGTCATCACTGAGGTTATCAAGATGTGGCGTCACTACTTGTTAGAGTCATATTTTGTGATCAAAACGGATCACCAAAGCTTACAGGAATTGTTGAAGCAAACTATTCAAACAACAGATCACCAAAGCTTACGATAATTGTCGAGGCAATTTGAAGAAGGTGAAAATGTTGTATGTCATGCTTTGCATTCAGAACCTACATTGGATATTTGGTTGAGAATTAAAGAGAAAAACAGAAATGATCAACGGTTGTTGGCCATTCACAAAGCTATGGATGAAGGGTCACACTTTGATCGTGATTTGTCAAGAAAAGGATGGTATTATATTTCACAAAAGCATATGTTTGTTGGAACCTAATTCTGCACTGAAGGGTTTACTATAATCAGAGGCTCATTACACGCTATTAGGAGGACATGCTGGGGTCCAACAGATATTCCTTCGTGTGTCTGCTTCATTTACTTAGAGAAATATGCACAAGGATGTCAAAACTTTTGTCAAAGAATGCACCATTTGTCAACAAATAAAGCATTCTACAAAGGTACTGTAACACCCCGTATATATCTGGTAATGTTATCATACTATCGTATTAAACTGCGCTTAATTAAAAATGCGAAATATCTTTTTCTTTTTCAATTATGATGTCATTAATCATTACCAACTTGATTACTTATTCATTTTCAAAACATCGTCTATATGTACATTGCAATAAAACAGCTAACTGAAATAACTCATAACATAAATAACAGATATGAGTCTCTAATCACGGAACTACACACGTAGACCGGACAATCCTAATAGTTTATACAACTTCTAAATAAAAGTGCTAACATCAAGTGGCATGGACAAAATCCATGCTTACACAAATAAAGCAACAAAGCCCAACATAAGTCTCAACAATAGGATCCAGAGACCCCTCAAACACAGGTGGCTTATGCTTCCTGAAAGCATTCAGTCGGCGATCGATCACATCACGATCCTCAGCAATCCCCACAAGGGGCTCCCCCGTCTCAGCGGCATGAGTAGCACTGCCGATGTAACTATGGCTCTCCTCCTGAACACTAGGTGGAGGCGGTGGCGGTGGTGGCGGTGGTGGTGGAGCCTGGCCAATAGCAAGACCAGCTCTCATCTCCTCCAACATGACTCTCATCATCGTCATGTTCGCCATCCTGTTCGCCTCGAGGACTTCCTTAGTGGTCCTCCGGTTCGCTTCACGAACCTCAGTTGCAGCTATCCGGTTCGCCTCGCGAATAGCTTCCATCATTGCCGCGTTGGCCACTCTAGCGGCCTCCTGATCGGCTAACCTAGCCGCCTGCATCTCAGCCAATGCAGTCAGGATAGGATCGGATTGATCCTCAGAAGTCTCTCGTGTTCTCCCGGACCTTACCATGACTCTGCACAAGTTACACAAATTATGAGTTGATCAGGCCCACGCAATATGATCACATATACAACATCATAATAAAATTCGACGGAGTAAACACAAAGACAGACGCAACCAAACAACCTAGCAATTGCAATACATACAGGCTTTTCCCTCGAACCATTGCTCTGATACCATAAATGTAACACCCCGTATATATCCGGTAATGTTATCATAATATCGTATTAAGCTGCGCTTAATTAAAATGCGGAATTACTTTTTCTTTTCAATTATGATGCCATTAACATTAACAACTTGCTTAATAATCAATTAATAAAACATCGTCTGTATGTAATTGCAATAAAACAGCTAACTTAAATACCTCATAACATATATAATATAAGTGTGGCTCTTGTCACGGAACTACAACAACGTAGACCAGACCATCTAACAATTTACACAACTCCAAACTACAAGTACTAACAGAAAGTGTCATGGACAATCCCATGCTCACTCAAATAAGGCAACATGCCCAACATCAGTCTCAACAACAACATATCATAAATAGCGGAAAACATAAACAGCATCCAAATCCATTCATGCTAATGTAAGGAGTAAAACATAATCAGCTAAGCTCCGGCCTCCTGCCGCCTGAGGCATCAGTACCCATACTACATGATCCTGAAATAAGCATTCCCCAAACGTGGGGTAAGATCTCTAATCTAGAAATCCCAGTAAGTCAGTGAGTCCTCAAGGATCTTCCACCCCAAGCTCACTTGCATGTGCAATATAAGTTCAAAAACCGTTTATCATTTATCATTTCTAAAACAATGCAATGCAGCAGATAATCATGTCATGTGTGTCAATACTAATTTACTGGCCAGAGACAGTGCAGGTATACGTCTATCATCTACACACCGTGCAAGTACCACTTGCATTCACCCCGGTACACCGTCTTGTATGGCGCTACATACTCAGGCTTCCCGTCAAGATGAAACAACACATGCATATTAAAAGCCATTACATGTAAAGTTCAATCAACATATCAAATATCCGAAAACATGTACACAACATGCATAAACCATACCCCCATGGGACATGGTGGAACCACAACATGGCTAAACCGAGGACACGAAAGCTTACCTTGCAAGCTAACCCCAAAAGCCAAGAGTCCACCGCTCAAAGTCCAAACACAGCAGATTCACAATCTGTTATGGACCAATACTATATCAATAAAATGCAACACAAGCTTAAAACTTAAAGACAACGCCTTTCCTTGCGTTTTACATCTTAAGGCTCCATACCAAGCCATAAGTCCTTAATCACAACGATTCTGACTTAGTTCATTAATTACAGAAGTTCAACTTCATCAATCTAGGGTCCACAAACCCCCAATAGCCTACTGTACACACAACACAGCTACTGTTCTACGAAATCCCAGAATATCCGGATATTCCTCGGGACCATATCCGGATATGCAATATCCGGATATCTCACTGGACATATCCGGATATGCCTTATCCGGATATCCAGAATCCCATATCCGGATACACAAAACCCATATCCGGATATCACATATCCGGATATTCATCGGGCACATATCCGGATATTTCACGACCGAATGCAGAAAATGCATTTCGTGAAGATATCCTCCCAAGGTTGGGTTTTTAACGATTTAAAGCACCTAAACATGCATTTCTAGGTGTGTTCAACATTACCCAACAACAAGTTATCATCTTTAAGCCTTAACATGCATCAAGCTTTCATTTTTAAGCATTAAACTCATGATCAAAGGTGACAAGGCTTACCAAAGCTCAAACTCAGGAAAATGGTGCTCTTGGAGCTCACACAACAGCTCCAAGGTTCTGTCTCTCATAGAACACGAAAATACACACCAAGGAGGGTCCTTTCTTCACAAAGGTTGCTCCTTGGAGCTCCAACAACTCAAGGAAGAAGCTCACACACTCCCACAAGGCAGTCCAGACTCCAAACAGCCTCCACACAGCCACCACACTCAGGAAAAGAGCTCCTTTCACACTCACAATGATCTCTCCCACTCACCCAAGGTACAAAGTGAAGAGAAAAGGAGGAAGAGAGGTCACAAAGCTCACAAAATGGAGGTAAAGCAATGTAACAGTGGAACCAGCAGCTGACCAGCCCCTCACCCACGTAGAGAAACTGTTTTATAGGGTTTTGTGCCCTTAATAAGGGTATATATAGCCCACTTAAAGATTAACACACAATATTAACTTTAATTGCTACGCTTAACATTTTAATCCCAAACTTTGGATTATGAAACTCCATAATTTTCTAAGATTTATCTTATTTTTCTTATAATTTTCTGAGCACTTTTCCGGTACGCGCTTTTCCAAGCCAGTACCGGTTTCTAGTACCAGTTCTCATTATCTGGACTTAAAACTCGTTTTACAAGTCCTACATATTATTCTAGTAATATCATGCACTTACATTAATTTTCCGGGATACTTTTTCGGTACGCATTTATACCGACTAGCAGAACCGGTATCTGCACTTTTTTTCCGTAAAGCGACTTTCAGCATTATTACTCACTTACTATAATTATTAAAGCCTCATAATAATTATTAGAGTCAATTATGGAATCATTTCCTAATTTTGCATAATTAATTAATTAAATACCTTAATTAACGGTACGGATTCTTACAACTTACGTGGCTTCCGTTGTGAGCAAAATAGCCATTGGTATCATGTACTTTGTTGGGCTGAGTTACATTACAACACTTCAATGCATTCATCCATAAATATTTCCCTATTTTATGCTGTGTATGAGAAGGTTTCCATACTCATTCCTCAGTATAACAAGGAGAGTGTTCAAGTCCAAGCAATAGATATGATGTTATAGGAGCGTGAGAAAATGTTGGCTCAACTCAAACTTCACTTGTAGAGAGCACAACAGCGTGTGAAGAAATATAAGCAACATATGCGATCATTGTCTTCGATTCTCTCACAACAGCAAAAAAGGAGCAAGTGCGTTTGGTAGAGGAGAAATTATTTTTTATCCGGGAATCTCGATTTTCAGAAATATGATTTTTACATTCAGTTTACGATAATATCCGAAAATTAAAAATTTAGAAAAATTCAGTTTCTCAGGAATCCTAGAGAATACCGCGTACCAAACGCTTATTAATCATATGTGCACGTTAGCAAACTCTCGTAGATAATTAATAATTTTTTTGTTATAAGAAATGATTTTATTAATCTCATGTTAAAGGAGATAGTTGTCTCATGTCATAGAGATAAATTTATGGGTTTCACCATCTGAAAAAAAGAAAGAAAGAAAAGGTGGCACAATTATCGAAAGGTGTGTAGGAGGAAAAACTTGTCTTATATAACATGAGAATAATTTTCCCTATAAGAAAATAGTTATCTTACGTTATAGAAATAAGATTCTAAGTGAGACTCATAGATAAGAGGAGAGAGAGAAAAAAGAAGAAGTGGAACCCATTCATCTTTTGTATGTGTAAGAAACTTAGTTATCTCATACAAAATAATGTAAATATAAATTTTTTTTTCATTAGAAAGTCCCCAAAGAAATTTACTGAAAAACAACGGCGGCCGATTCAGAAATTTTACAATAAGTGATAATTTTTTTTTTAATTTTTTAAGTATTATTAATATTAATAAGAAATATTAATTATTATAAATATTTTTGTAAAAAGAATTAACTATTAATACTAATAATAAAAAAGTATTTACAAAAAAAAAATAAAAAATAAAAAATAAAATAAAAAAAAGTAAAATTTAAGAAGGGTTGGGTTCGAACCTGTCAAAGAAACTTAAAACATTTTAGCAAATGATACAACCTGAACTCAGTAAATTGATTTGGACATTCTCCCCTTAAAATTCAACCCAACATCGGTAATAAATTAAATTAAATAATTATAGGCAATATTTAAGTGTGTGTATATACAGGTTTAATATTTTTTATATTATAGAAAATAACATACATAAAAGTTATGAGGTATATATTTTTAATCGAAAAAATATTTATCATTTTAAAAGACATATTTTTATACCATTTTCAATAAAATTATGTCGTTTTGATGTGTATTTAATGATTTTTGCCATTATCTCTACTCCACTTTCTTTCTTTTTCTAATTTTATAAAGAAATGTAAATAATCACTAAATACATGTCAAAAAGATGTAATTTCATTAAAAATGATACGAAATTGTGTTTTTTAAAATGATAAATAATTTTTCCATTTTTATTATATCTTTTTCTCTTAGTATTACCTTACATGCCCACACATTTTTTTTTTTTTGTATACCACAAATACTCATTGATCTATCGGGGGCAGGTTGAAAAAGTTTTAAAGTTATTCCAAAAATAATACGAAAAAAGATCGAACATATAATCTTATTCACACGTGTGATATACAACATAATAAAATAATAAACTTTATATAATCTTATTCCCGTGTGTCATACACATGATGCTGCCTACTGAATTTCCGTAACGGGCAAATAGCAGACTAAAAGCACTAACGAGCGAACGAAATAACACTGGTTTCTCAAAATTTCATATTTGACTGGGCAACACCTTAGCTCAGAGCCACTAGGCACTAGCGGCAAATAGCCTATTACTTTGCCAAATCCCAATTCCACCTCACTCTCGCGTCTAATCCGCACTCTCTCTCTCTCTCTCTCTCTCTCTCTCTCTCTCTCTCTCATTTCCATTCGAGCTTCGATCAAGTCCTCTCTCGATCGAATACAAACGTGACTTGACGCTGGTTTCTTCTGGATGAAGGTATCGATTCCAACCATTCTTTCCTCCCTTGTTTTCACTTCTCCGAAGCAATGGTGAATTCTTCACGATCCGTGCGTTTCTCTCTCTCTTCAGAACTCCGTGTTATTAATGCGTGAAATGTGCGCGCGTTTGATACGCTGAAAGCATCTCTGCTGCGCTGATCTGTTCTCGCAATGTGAGAGGCGATTCGAGTCGACTCGGTTTCTGGATTTTGTGAGTTAATGATAACTTAGCGAATTCCAGCTAGTGTAAATTTTATTTGTTTGTGTGTGTGTTTGTGTGTGTTTCACTACTTCTTGAAGCTGTATCATGTGGATTGAAGAATGTTTTCATGTGTTTAGTCAAACCAAAGCTTTTCAGTGGTGTTCTTGTTAGAGAATTTTGACAATATTTGCAGTAATGTTGGTTTTGATAATGTAGTCAATTCCTTAGCAAAGTGCAAAGGTGCTTTAGTGGTATACAGCTCGCTATCGTATTCAAATGCTATATTTTCTGGTCTCTAGATGTCGGTTATTACTTTTTTCTTTTTCTGGAGAAATTATTAGTTTTGTTACTTGCAGGTGGATTGGGATTTTCATTATTTGAATGAATATTTGTTAGCTTCTTTGGAAATAGCATAATGGAAGAAGAGGAAGAACCAAAAGAAATACAAATATCTGGTAATGAATTAGATAGTCATGAAGTGGTAGATAATGGTGTGAAACAATTTGTTGGGAGTCCTCAGAAGGAAAATGCAGATGTTGGCAGTGACGTTGGGGATGAACAGGGAGATGAAAGGGTACCCATACAAGGACATGGGATTGATCCTGTGACTACAGCTGCAGGTGAGGACCAGTTTGAGCAAGTATCTTTGAAAGATAAAGAGAAGAATAATGAGTATGTGGATTCTAACCGAACTTCGGGTTCAGATAATGTACAACACCCATTTGGTGGTAACGCAGAGGATTTTCAATATTCATCTGGGATGCACTTGACAGAGTATAATTCTTCCTCAGTTGCTGACATGCAACGTGATCATCTTTCTTATAGCCCTGGGTCAGAGGGGCATTCTGGTCATACAAAGAAGCAGTCTGCTTCATCAAATTGTTTTGATTCACCTGGGTATTCTCCTGTTAGTTCTCCACAGAAGTCTAGGAAAAAAAATGCTATGTCAAATGTGTCTGCAGAATTACTGCATTTAATTGATTCTGCTATCATGGGGAAACCTGAAGGTATGGAGAAACTGAAGAATATCGCAAGCGGTGTAGAAATTTTTGGGAGTGTTGAAGAAATGGAGAGCTTGTCTTTCTTAATAGTAGATTCACTTCTTGCAACAATGGGTGGCGTTGAAAGTTTTGAAGAGGATGGTGATAATAATCCTCCTAGTGTAATGCTGAACTCCCGGGCAGCCATTGTGGCAGGTGAAATTATTCCTTGGCTTCCATATGCAGGTGATTCTGACGTTGTCATGTCACCCAGGACACGAATGGTAAGGGGACTACTTGCCATATTACGGGCTTGCACTAGAAACAGGGCAATGTGCTCAATGGCCGGCCTGTTAGGAGTACTGTTGAGAACAGCAGAAAGAATTTTTACTGTGGATGTTGGCTTAAATGGGCAAATAAGGTGGGATGGAACTCCTTTGTGCCGCTGCATACAATACTTGGCTGGGCATTCTCTTAGTGTTAGTGACCTTCATAGATGGTTTCAAGTCATTACAAGAACACTAACCACAATTTGGGCTTCACGCTTAATGCTTGCTATGGAGAAAGCAATAAGTGAAAAGGAGTCAAGGGGACCAGTTTGCACTTTTGAGTTTGACGGTGAAAGTTCTGGTTTGCTTGGTCCAGGTGAGAGTCGTTGGCCATTTATCAATGGTTATGCATTTGCAACATGGATCTACATTGAATCATTTGCTGACGCATTAAATACAGCTACAGTTGCTGCTGCAATTGCTGCAGCTGCATCGGCTAAGTCAGGTAAATCATCAGCCATGTCAGCTGCTGCAGCAGCTAGTGCACTTGCTGGTGAAAGTACGACACACATGCCTCGGTTATTCAGTTTTATATCGGCTGATAATCAGGGTATAGAGGCTTACTTTCATGCTCAATTTTTGGTTGTTGAAATTGGTAGTGGAAAGGGAAAGAGATCTGCTTTGCATTTTACTTATGCATTCAAACCACAGTGCTGGTACTTCATTGGCCTTGAACATATAAGCAAGAATGGAATGCTTGGGAACGTAGAAAGTGAAATTAGGTTATATGTAGATGGATCTTTATATGAAATTCGTCCTTTTGAGTTCCCTAGGATTTCCAAACCTCTTGCATTTTGCTGCATAGGAACTAACCCTCCTCCTGCTATGGCTGGTTTGCAACGCCGTCGTCGTCAATGCCCTTTGTTTGCTGAGATGGGCCCTGTTTACATCTTCAAGGAACCAATTGGCCTTGAAAGGATGACACGCTTGGCTTCTAGAGGAGGGGATATGGTGCCTTCTTTTGGTAATGCAGCAGGGCTACCATGGCTTGCAACAAATGCTCATGTGCAGAGAAAGGCAGAGGAAAGTGTCCTTTTGGATGCAGAAATTGGAGGTTTCATTCACTTGCTCTATCATCCTAGTTTGCTTAGTGGGCGTTTCTGTCCAGATGCTTCACCTTCTGGTGCTGCAGGTCAGATAATTTCTGTGTGTTGATTTTATATAACTAGAAATCTTATTACAATTTTTTGGGTTGGAACATTTTTTAACTACCATAAAGTATGTTCTTTCTCACTTAATGATAACTATTTGGTTATTAACTGGGTGCATTTTTATGCAACACTCCTACCTAATTTCTTCCCTTCTTAATATTCCTAGTTTAAACCTATTCCCATGAACAATGCTATCTTCATCTCTTGCCACTTTTTAATTATGATACCACTAATTGTTACATATTAATCCCTGTACCCACTCATCCCTGTACTTCATTAATTAATACAAGACAAAACAACAACCCAACCCTTACCTCAGCTTTTAATGCGCAACGTCCAAACCCCTAAAATCCTGACCCCGTCACCAACCACGACATGGTACTACCAATCACGATGTGGCCCTGCTTGCCCCATACTCTACACCAAATAAGACATTTTACATGCACATGCAAATGATTTAACTCTTAAGAACTAGATCACAATCACATACAACTGGAGCCCATACACATTGCTAATACAGATACTTATCTCTTGCAAAGGTAATGATTCTTCATATCAGGATTCATCCTCAAGCTGATAAGTAAAACAACGTTGAACCACTTTATTAGTTGTACATCCGATTTCACTATTTTACACCTTAGAACACTAACCATTTGATGGGTCACAGATGACTTGAACTTAGGAAATATCTATGTGAGAGATATTTCAGTATTTAAAAACTATAATCTTAACTCTTAACTTTATTAAGTGATTAAATATATATATATATATATATGTTTAATAAATAGTGATTATTTACTATTTCACCATGACAGATAAAATTTCTTTTATACATCAAGGTATGTAAAATATGATGCATTGTTGTTATGGTTCATTTATTGTTATTCAGGAATGCTTCGACGTCCAGCTGAGGTTCTTGGGCAAGTCCATGTTGCAACACGAATGAGACCTGTGGATGCTCTGTGGGCATTGGCTTATGGTGGTCCATTGGCTTTGCTTCCCTTAGCAATAAGCAATATTCACGAGGATACTCTAGAACCACAGCAAGGGAATTTTTCTGTGTCTGTAGCCACCACATCTCTTGCTGGTCCACTACTTCGAATTATATCCACGGCTATTCAACATCCAAGGAACAATGAGGAGTTGGCTCATGGCAGAGGGCCTGAGGTTCTTTCAAAGATTTTAAATTTTCTTCTCAAAACCCTATCTTCACTTGGTGTTGGAAAGCATGACGGTGTAGGAGATGAGGAACTTGTTGCAGCAGTTGTCTCGCTTTGTCTATCTCAGAAGATCAACCATATGCTTAAAGTGCAACTCTTCACTACACTGCTGCTGGATTTAAAAATTTGGAGTTTATGTAGTTATGGAATACAAAAGAAGCTTCTATCATCACTTGCTGACATGGTTTTCACTGAGTCGGCAGTGATGCGTGATGCCAATGCCATTCAGATGCTTCTTGATGGGTGCAGAAGATGCTATTGGACTGTTCGGGAAAAGGATTCAGTAAATACTTTTTCACTAACTGGGGCAACAAGACCAGTGGGTGAAGTCAATGCTTTGGTTGATGAGCTCTTAGTGGTAATTGAACTTCTAATAGTGGCAGCATCTCCTTCGTTGGCCTCGGATGATGTCCGATGTTTACTTGGCTTCATGATTGACTGTCCACAACCCAGTCAGGTAAGTAGTGAGATGGGATGCTTTTATTCTCTCTCTTTCTCTCTTTTTTTGTGGGATAATAAAAGAAATTCTTAGGAAAGATGCTAATATGAAACACACAGATACCATAACATTCTAAAATGCATATTTCTTATACTAGCATATTCATGTATCGTGTTTCTGTGGTTCTTATGTGCTTTCCAATTGCTTGATAACTTCTTGTTTTATGTTATCGATTTGAGTTTTCACAATTTAGAAGGTTGTTATTTAGAAACCCAGTATTTTTCTGTTATATGACAGGTACATCTTGCTTCTCTTCGGGGTCGAACTAATAGATTTGTCCTTTAGGGAATTCCTCTTGAGGTTATCCAGAGGCTACAGGCTTTGCTTGTATATTTGTTGCTTACAATGGGGTTCCCTTATAATTTTTTATTTTCTGTTTTGGGGATTGCTTATACTTTTATTCTGCATCTTATATCTCTTAATAAAGTTTCTTATTTTTATATGAAAATCCTTTTTTGTTTTTGTTTTCTTATATAGATGGTTATGATGAATGATATAGTTTTAGTTGATGAATTGTGAGGAGTAAATTGTAAGCTTGAGTAGCGGAGAAAAGCTTTGGAATCAAAGGATTTTCCATTATGTAGAAGTAAGACAGAGTACACGGAATGCAAGTTGTTACGACTCTAGATTATTACAAGGTACACAAGTACAACAACGCGCGAGCTAGCAATGTGTTGGAGGGGAAAATTGGGGATCACATGATACAAGAAGTTGCTGGATTTAGGTATCTTGGATCCATCTTTCAAAGTGACGAGTAGATTGAGGGTGATGTAACACATAGGATTCAAGCTGAAAGGATGAAATGGAGAAATGCATTGGACGCAATTTGAGATCATAAAGTTCCTATCAGAATTAAAGGAAACTCTACCCAGTAGCCATTGATGCTCTATGATGGTGAATGTTGGGCAGTAAAGTACCAAAAAGAGAAAAATAATAAATGTAAAGGAGATACGAATGTTGTGGTTGATAACCGGATATAGAAGAAAAGATAAGATCATGAACAAATGTATTTGGGAGAAAATTGAAGTACAAACCGTAGGAAGACAAAAAATCGCTTAAGATGGTTTGATCATGTGAGGAGATATTATAGTAACACTTAAAAGTTGGAATGTGAATTGTATTCAATTGTGTATAGAACTGTACAAAAGACCTCTATTTAAAGAGTTTAAATGACCTAATGGGCCAAGCCCAAATAACCTTCTAGAATAACAGAATAATAAATAATACAATGCTATTTAATATTATATTATTTCTAACACTCCCCCTCAAGTTGGTGCGTATATATCATAAGCTCCCAGCTTGTTACATATATGATCTATTTGGGGACCTCTAAGAGCCTTGGTGAAAACGTCTGCAAGTTGGTCACTGAAATTGACAAATGCTGTCTCGATTTCTCCTGACTGAATATTCTCTCTAACAAAGTGACATTCAATTTCTATATGTTTGGTCCTCTCATGAAAGACTAGATTAGAGGATATATGCAATGCTGCTTGATTGTCACAAATGAGCTTCATGGGCTGCTGTTCACAGAGATGTAGTTCCTTAAGCAATTGTTTTAGCTAGATGAGCTCACAGGTTGCATTTCTCATTGCCCGATATTCTGTCTCTGCACTTGACCTTGCGACCACAGTTTGTTTCTTACTCTTCCAAGAGATCAAGTTTCCTCCAAGGAGAACACAATACCTCGAGGTGGATCGTCTGTCTGAAGGAGAGCCTGCCCAATCAGCATCTGAATAGCTAGATACCTTAGCATTCCCTTTATTTGTGTATAATAAACCTCTTCCTGGTGCTCTTTTGATATATCGAAGAATCATGATAACTACATCCCAATGGGAGTCACAACTGCAGTGGCGGATCCAGGAAATTAATGAAGGGTGGGCACTCAATAAGTTCAAGTACATATAGATTTGGGTCTGGTCTGAAATACGACTTTCGGCTGGCTGGGTCTGGTTAAGATCTAGATCTGGACAGATTGCGACTCAACTAGACCCATGATGGACAAAAAAGCAAATGTTCCAACTTCCAATAACGGAGATTGAGGTTTGAGAGGAGATGAATCAGTATGTAGATGCAAACGATGGGTCTGGAATAGAGCTCTCTGCTGTTAGGTTTGGATAATGAAGATGGAGGAGAAAAAAAAAGCTCACGGGAAAATAAAATAGAAGGAGGGAAATTAAAGGGGTAAGATATCGTAACAACCAACTAGGGTTACTACCAATCAATTTCACCGTTAGATCGATTATGTTGATCCAACGGTTATATTTATTTTCACCTTTGTATGGTTATGATCCCCATATTTAATGTAAAAGCATTAAATATGAAAAATCATAACCATACAAAGGTGAAAATAAATATAAAGTATTAAATATGGAGAATCATAAACATACAAAGATGAAAATAAATATAACCGTTGGATCAACATAATCGATCTAACGGTGAAATTGATTGGTAGTAATATTGGTAATAACCCTAATTGGTTGTTACAATATCCTACCCCAAAATTAAATTGGAAAAACTTGAATTTTAAGATAAAAGTATTTTTGTATTTTTGCATCATATTTTAAGGGTGGGCACTTGCCCCTCTTCTCCTTAACCTAGATCCGCCTATGGTCACAAGGAGAGTCAAGGAATTGACTTGCCACACTAACTGCAAAAGAGATGTTTGGTCTTGTCACAATAAGATAGTTCAACTTTCCAACTAATCGGCGATAACGACCAGGGTCTGCCAATGGCTCCCCCTGTCCGGGTAACAACTTAACATTAGGATCCATAGGTGTATCAATAGGTTTACATCCCAACATACCAGTCTCATCTAGTGTAACACCCCAAATTTCTAACAATTTATAAAACAATCTTATAATAAATAAATTGTCAAAATTCATTTTTTTTTTTTTACAATTATAATAATAGAAATATTGCGGAAGCTAATCTAAATCTAATTTGGGGAATGTTACCGCCGCACCTGTACAATGGGCAGGTGCAAGGCTAAATCTATTACATTAAAATAAAACCAAAGACTAAAGTTTAAATAAAGGAAATATGTCTTATGCATTTATTTAAATCTCATAAAATTTCTAAACTTAAAAACTAGCTTGAAATATCCGAGTCGTGATCCTCACTGCCCACAGCTAGCCCCATCCTTTGCAACATGCTTCACTGAAAATCTGCTCCCCCGTGAAGGATCATTGCAGTTAAACAAACACAAAAGTCAGCAAAGCTGGTAATCCCAATCAAAATACAATTAATGTAATTAATAACAAATTAAATCAAATATCAAATAGTGTTCAAATCAATTTCACATTAATCAAATCAAATATCAATATAATAATCAAAATTCCATTATATAATATTTATCTTTGTTAAGTTCATTTAATGTATTTAGTAATTATCAACTAACATATTTAGCACAACATTAATCATAATATGATAATATTCACAACTCAATGACATTCTTCATAATCAAATCAAATAACAAATTAAATCATTAATAATGTTTAAGTTCATTATATTTAGTGGGAAGAGAACCATGGTAGACCCGGGAAACCCTGCCAGTCTACCCTGTGACCCGGGAAACCCTGCCAGTCACAAACAAATCACTTTGGCCATAATCAATTCACATCTTCCTAGTGTGCACACCTCTTCCCAAAGTTGCTACTAGTATCCCGGGGAACCCTGCCAGACACCACTTTGGGATACAATCTTTTTCACATCAGTTTCGCATCGGAGGCATAAAGCTCAAAATTTGTGTTCATCACCTTGGGAGGTACCATCCCAAAGCTATCCTCCCACTATTAATTTTTTTTTTATAGAGACATAACAAAATTTTTCCAATATATTTCAAATATATGTAATATCTATTTTCTGCAGCGAATAATTAATTTCCAATTTACCAAGACATATATATATATATTAGTGCCTCAATTTACAAAGTAAAGCACAGAATATAAAAAAAACAATTGAAACTAAATTCATATAACTAATGTATTTGAAATATGTTCATCACGTAAATCGAAAAGGCAGAATTGCAATATACGGAACTTGAAAGAAACATATTAGTAGATGGTGAACATACATCTAAATGAAAGTGACGCACAAAAATCGAGAAGGAGGTTTTTTTTTTGTTTTGTTTTATGAACAATTAAAAGCAACGAAGTGTACACGCAGTTCCGAAAGAAACGACCATTACCATTTGAATTCAATTAAAGAATTGCACAGAACCAAAAGAATTATTTATAACGAATGTAATTATATATACAGGTCAACACAATTATTTGGGATTAGGATTACATACAATATATTTCATATAAAACAACCCTATGATATATATTTAGGATCATAATTACCCTATCAAAATTCATATAAAATTAACCTAAGACTTCTAAGGATTAAGATTACATATACCAAATTTCACATAAAAATATAATCTAAAAATACCTAGGGATTAAGATTACATCCAAGTTTTATATAAAAGAAATAACCTACAAATAGGATTACATATACCAAAATTCATATCAATATAATCTATGACTCTCTAGGGATTAGGATTACCTGATCTCCGTTTTCGCTAACTTCTAGAAGAAAAGAGTAATTTGGGGCAGAGAACGGTTGATAATCAAAAAAATATAAAGATTGAAAATAATTAAAATAAACTTTTTGGAGTGAGAAGAGAGAGAGTAGTAGAGGAGAGTGAATTGGTTTGGTTAGGCTAGGTCTCTATTTATAGTTGAAGTTTAGGGCTTATACATTACTGACTCATCATATCTAAACAATTTATGTTTGTTGACTCATCATATCTAAACAATTTATCAATAAAACATTACTAATCAAACATTAATACATAAATCATCAATCAATTAATAAATCAATTAATCATGATTTATCATCTAATTTATATATATATATATATTTTTTCACATAAATCAAATAATATTACTATTATTATTATCTTACCTCTTATTATTTTAACTATTATTAACTCATTAACTAAAAATATTAAATACCAATATTATTAATTACAAAAAAATACTAAATATCATTATTATCCATTAAAATTATTATTATTATTATTTTATTAAAAGAAAATATGGGGTATTACAATCTACCCTCCTTAAAAGAAGTTTCGTCCTCGAAACTTAAAAGTTTGAGCTCCTCAAATTAACTAAAAGGCATAAGGTTAAAGTTAATAAAAATATGGGGTATTACATCTAGGATATCCAGTGCATACTTTCTTTGACAAATGGAAATGTCTTGCCTAGACTGTGCCACTTCGATCCCTAAGAAATATCGAAGTCTGCCAAGATCTTTGGTCTGAAACTGATTGAATAAGTATTTCTTTAACTGATCAATCCCAACTTGATCGCTGCCAGTAATAATGAAGTCATCAACATAGACTAAAAGATAGATACACTGACCAGAAGAGCTATGCCTATAGAAGACAGAATGATCGACTTTACTTCTGGTTAAGCCAAAGGATTGAACAACAGAACTAAAGCGACTAAACCAAGCTCGAGGAGACTGCTTCAGGTAATATAAAGATTTACGAAGCTTACATACCATTCCAGAATTCTCCCCCTGAGCAACAAAACCTGGAGGTTGCTCCATATATACTTCTTCTTACAAGTCACAATGTAAGAATGCATTTTTGATATCAAGCTGTAGAAGGGGCCATTGATGAATGGCAGCAAGTGCAAGAAATAGGCGAACAGATGCCATCTTGGCAAAAGGAGAAAAAGTATCCCCATAGTCAAGACCAAATATCTGAGTGTATCCCTTGGCCACCAAACGAGCTTTGAGGCGATCAACAGTGCCGTCAGGACCAACTTTGACAGTGAATATCCATCGACAACCGACTACTGACTTTCCAGGAGGAGCATGAACAAGATTCCATGTGCCATTGGAGTGAAGTGCTTGCATTTCATCAATCATCGCCTGACGCCAACCCGGATGAGATAGTGCTTCACCTGTTGTTTTAGGAATAGAAACAGACGAAATACTAGAAAAAAAAGTAAAATATGGTGAAGAAAGTCTATCATAACTCAAGAAACTATAAAGTGGATGAGGGTTGCGAGTGGATCGAATACCTTTGCGAAGGGAAATGGGAGTAATCTCTGATGGAGGATCCGGAGGGGAACAGTCGACCAGAGTAGGCGGTGAGTCAGTAAGGGTCATGGAGGTAGAGGATAGGAAGGTGCTCCTGGAAATAAAACACTATGTGGAACTTCATTATTAAGTACGAAAGAGGGCATGCAATTGATGAGAAAGCAAGAGGTGATTATAGCATCTGCCCAAAACGGAATGGAACATTCATATGAATTAGTAGGGTACGTGCAGTTTCAACCAGATGTCTATTTTTACGTTCGGCTACTCCATTTTGTTGTGGAGTGTGTGGGCAAGTGGTCTGGTGTAACGTCCCATGTTTCTCCAAAAAATTAGAAAATTCAAGAGACACATATTCTTTTGCATTATCACTGCGCAAGATTTGAATAGAAGCTCCAAATTGAGTATTCATTTCAGCACAGAATTTTTGATAAATTGAAAATAATTCTGAACGATTTTTCATTAAATAAACCCAACTGCAACGAGAGACATCATCAATAAAGGTGACAAAATACTGAAAACCCAAAACAGACATTGTTCGACTCAGACCCCAAATATCAGAATGAACAATAGAAAAAGCAGCATCAGCTCTTTTATTGACTCTATTAGCAAAGGAGAAGCGAGTGTGCTTTCCTTGCTGACAAGAATGACAGTTTAAAGACTTAAGACTGGATAAAAAGGGAACCATATGTTGAAGCTTGGAAAGACTTGGATGACCCAGACTGCTGTGAATTAGCTCAGGAGACTCTGTGAGAGAACATGCTACTGGAGAAGGTGGTGCAATCAGATAGTAGAGACCTCGTGACTCAATGCCCACTCCAATCGTCTTCCCCGTACCCGAATCCTGCATAGAAAATGATTGTGTAGAGAAGGTAACAGTACATGAAAGAGAATGAATCAACTGGCTAACAGAGATTAAATTAAAAGGAATGCCAGGTATATAATAAGCAGAACTCATAGTTAAAAGGGGAGTTGGGTTGGCTTCCCCAATTCCACGAGCAGGAGCCTTAGTGCCATCAGCAAGAGTGACAGGGGTAGGTTATTAGAATAAGAAAGTGAAGTGAAGAGATCTTTATTACCACAAAGATGATGAGTAGCACCTGAGTCTATTATCCAGGGTCTAAGAGATGATTGATAAAAACAAGCAACATGATTACCAATGTCTTGAGTAGGATGCTGAGAAGAAACCTTCTTGAGAAGTGCCTCATAGTCGGCACTTGAAAGAGTTACTAATCCAGTAGAAGGTGGTGTAGCATCATTTTGAGCAAAGTTGGCAGTCGGTGGCTTCAAATGAGGGTACTTCCTATAGCAGTGTTCTTCAAAATGCCCAAGATTATGGCAATAATTGCAACGAGGCCTCTGTCTGCGGCCACGTCCGCGACCGCGTCCACTATTCCAATTGAAATCATTGGCCCGAGAAAAGAATTGAGATAGGGTAGTACTGGAGATGATGCCAGTCGTGTTTTTGGACGCATTACTTTAGCCCTCCATCACTAAATAAAATAAAGGAGATGACCAGATCTGAAAATAGGAGAGTGAAGTGAAAAGATCCTTTGAAAGAGTAACTGATCCAGTAGAAGGTGGTGTAACATCAGTCTGAGCAAAGTTGGCAGTCGGTGGTTTCAAGTGAGGGTACTTCCTGTAGCAGCGTTCTTCAAAATGTCCAAGATTCTGGCAATAATTGCAACGAGGCCTCTGTCCGCAGCCACCCTGTCCACGGCCACGTCCGCGACCGCGTCCACTGTTCCAATTGGAATCATTGGAACGAGAAAAGAATGCAGTGGAATCGGTAGCTGGCACGTGTGTGGGAGCTGTTGATTTATCCTTAAGATTCAAAAGACGCTGGAAAGTGTGTGACAGGCTAGGAATTTCAGCACTAGTTAGAATATTCTCACGAACACTTTCTAACTCCTCGGAAAGACCAAAGAGGGTTACGACCATAAAGAAGCACTCCACCTGCTTCTTGTATGCAGAGGCATCTGCAGCATGAAGTAGCATAGCTAAGAATTCTTGCATCAAAGAACGAATCTTACCAATATAAGTTTCCATTTGGGACTCTGGTGATTTGCGCAATTCCATTATCTGAGAAACAATGGAATAAAGCTGCTGAATGTCATTGGTGTAAAGGTTTTTAGCTTCCTCCCATACGTCATAGCAGGTCTCAAAGGGAATGAAAATGTCTATAATTGTCGGATCAAGGGACTGCCAGAGGATACTTAGCAGCTGAGCATCAGTCTTTTCCCATTCAGGTGTCTGATCGGCAGACTTGGTTGTGAGATGTCTACCGTATTCCTGACCAGTAAACCGGATCTTAACTGAGGTAGACCAGGTCTTGTAAGTAGCAGATCCGGTCAGTTTCATTGTTGTAATGGAGGGGGTAGTACTGGAGATGACGCCAGTAATGTTTTTGGACGCACTACCTAAGCCCTCCATCACAAAAAATATAAAAAGAATGACCAGATAAAAGCAAAGAACTGCAAACTCACAAGAAATCACGCAAAAGTAAACAAACAGAATGTCCAAACGTACGGAACAGTGCTGGAAAGAGACCCACAACAGATGACCAAATAAAACACAATGTTTTTGACTGATATCTTCTTAACGGATGAGACCCACGACGAACGGAGAACAAATCTGGAAAGATGAGAGAAGGGCGAGTCGTTCTGTGCTGGATTCACCGAAAAAGGACACCGGAACAGTGCTCAAGCGCCGGTGAGAGGCGGCGCGTGAGCACCACGCGCAGTAAAGGTCACCCGAGCGTGAGGGCGAGTGAGCTGGCCGCCACCGGAGGGAGGAGAGCCTGATCGCAAGTGTTCCGGTTGAAATCGTTGCCAGAAAAGTTTTCCGGTGACCATGAACAGTAGCAAACAGCGGTTCCGACGGCAAACGGAGGCTGATTTCTGACTATTAAAGGTTGAGGAGGCTGGTTTCTGACTTTTCAAGGTTGAGGATAAATATTTGCTGATTAATTAAGGGTTAGGGCTAAAAAAAGGTTGCCGGTATGATGCACGGCGAGAGAAGGGTTTTATGCGGAAGCTAGGTTTCCCAGAACACAAGCTCTGGTACCAACTTAAAAGTTGGAATGTGTTTTGTGTTCAATTGTGTATAGAACTGTACAAAAGACCTCTATTTAAAGAGGTTAAATGACCTAATGGGCTAAGCCCAAATAACCTGCTAGAATAACAGAATAATAAATAATACAATGCTATTTAATTTATATTATTTCTAACACTAACAGTAGCCGTTACTACGTTCTCTGTATTAGTGGCATGCATAGTAGTCTGCAGCAGCTTCTATTCGGCTGGTATCAGTATATATGTGCAGCACTACAGTGCTGCTATGCTTAGAGAAACATTGGTTACTCCAGCTGTTATGCAGTTACCAGTTGGTTAGGCTGAGTTGGCAATTCTGTTGCTCAGTTACAAAACTAAGTCCTATTTTCTATATAGCATCACATGCTCTAATTTGGTGACCTATTAAATAGTAAAGTACATACATTTCTGAATAACTATATTAGCAACTCTGGGTTGCTGATATTTTATATTCTGCTATATATGAATACAAGTTATCACTAATCTCATGTTAAGTGGCTTATTTTGAAATTTGAAAATTCTAACATGAACTTATAATGTTTTGGTTTCATTTTAAAAATCTACCCCTCATCCATTTTCTAAAAGAAATTTTTGCTCATTATTTACTTCATTTTGCAGATTGCTAGGGTGTTGCATCTCTTCTACAGGTTGGTTGTGCAGCCAAATACATCAAGAGCTCACACATTGGTAGAAGCATTCATAGCATGTGGTGGGATAGAAACTCTTCTTGTTCTGCTTCAAAGGGAAGCTAAAGCTGGAGAAAGTGCTGTCCCGGAATCAATTTCAAACTGTCCTGAGCTTCAAAAAATTGAGACTAATGGTAGCAGTGAGATCACAGAAACATGTCAAGATGATGAAGGATCAGAGGAGAGAAGTGAAGCCATCTTACAAGACAATGACCAAGGTTCTGAATCTGTTGATAGTGGAAGTAACCTTGATCCTAGTTCTCCTGATGTGAATATTGAAAGGATGACATCTACCTCGGAAATTCTTTCTGTCAAGAATTTGGGAGGCATTAGTCTATCCATCAGTGCGGACAGTGCTAGAAAAAATGTTTATAATTTTGATAAAAATGATGGCATTGTTGTTGGGATCATAGGTCTCTTAGGTGCTTTTGTAGCTTCTGGGCATCTTAGGTTTGGTTCCCATGATGGTCCTGATACAACAAGCAACCTTTTGGGGGTTGGACTGCATGATGGAGGTGGTACAATGTTTGATGATAAGGTTTCTCTTCTTCTTTATGCCTTACAGAAGGCTTTCCAAGCAGCACCAAACAGGCTAATGACTAACAATGTTTACACAGCTTTATTGGCTGCCTCGGTATGACAAAGTCCTTCTACCTTATCCCTACTGCATAGTCCATACCAATGGAAACACGAATATTAGTGGCTGTTATTCCTATACTATTGTGAAAATGGCAGCTGATTTTGCTTTTTATTTATTTATTTATTTATTATTTTATGAAAGTGTTATATGCAAATGTCGAGAGGGCAAGCTTGAAGCAGTGGTCAAGCTGCTCATTTGTGGCTGAAAGGTCAAGTTATGAGTTCGAATCTGTGAAATAGTCTCTTTGCAAATATGTAAGGGTAAAACTGCATATAAAGATTGCCTTTACCCCTACCCTCACTAGTTAGGGTGTAATGGGGAGTGATTTGGTTTAGCTATATGCGGATGTCACTGCCATGCCCGTGCTTTATTTGGTATGGGCTTCTTGTTTTTTTCGCCACTATAAGCTTGTAGGTTTTTCTTCTTTCCGAGTCTGTGTTGATATTTAAGGATATGAACAAATTTTCACTTGTAAAAATGAGAAAATCCTATTATTCTTACCCTTAATATGGACTGAATTATATAAAATATAGTTCTTACTTATATTGATATACCTACATGCTACGCATGTTATTTTTGTACTGTGGTTATGAATTATATACACTTACCAGGTGAAATAAATTCACTTTTTATCTTGTCTGTCGCCTTTTGGTGTTAAGCATGTCCATATTTTTATGTGACTAAATTTATAGATATTGTCTGTCTCACCTTTACATGGCTATGGAATTTGTGTAATGTTGCACCTTGCCCTGTAATTCCTTTTTGTCCATGTCAGTTATTATTGGTGTCATTTGGATACTATCGTTTTTGCGCTGCTATGTAATGTTCCTCTATGAGATGCCTTGGTTTGAAATACGCTGGTGTTCAAGATTCACATGTTGGTATGGCAACAAAAAAAAATGAAAACTTAATTAGCATACACATCAATGTGGATATCTTGGATTCTCCAGTTATCCAACATTTGCATGATTTTGGCATTTCAAATGCCTCATTTACAAGTTATTTAATCTGTTTTGTCAGTATGGTTAAATGATGCGTTTGTCTAATAAATTTCTATCATCTTGTTTTTAACGTTTCATCTGCCACTTTTCTGACAGAGGTCATGCAATTTTCTTGACACTTTTATTTTATACTGGCTAAAATTTGTTTTTTCTCAGTAAAGAGGAAACTTATTAATTGAAAAGAGAAGATAATGTTCTAAAATAAATGACAAAATTCCTACTATCACCATAGCAGAATAATACAGCAAAACCTTGAAGCCCCTTTCAATGTCTATAGAGGAAACCCCTTGAAAAGTGTCATTAGGTGAGCAAGTTGTTGAAAAGGAAATTCTATCTGCATTAGCTGATGTTTTCTTTTTCTGTGTTTCTTTTGGCCTTCTTTGTTTCGGTTTCAGATCAATGCTTCTTCAACAGTGGATGGGCTGAACTTCTATGATTCTGGTCATCACTTTGAGCATTCACAACTTTTATTGGTGCTTTTACATTCGCTTCCATTTGCGCCTAGGCCTCTGCAGAGCAGAGCACTACAGGTATTAGCTCAACAGTTCTCATTTTCTACAGTGTGCGCGTAATATTTGTGCATTGCATTCTATTTTTTCTGAGGTTTTTTCAGTATCTTGTTTTCAAACATGCTTGATTTATGTATTTAATTTTCTTATTACAATTTGCTTCTATGGATGTACTTAATTTATGCATTTGAATTTCTTGTTATATATTTTTTCCTGGATACTTTTTTTGTTTTTTAAATTTGTGGGCTTACTACATTTGCCATTATTTTAAGATCTGAAAGATTATGTTGAAACATAGAGATAATTTCTTTACTTCCTTATTTCTACTTGAGTTTCTCAACTGGCAGGCTGAGGCTGGTAAAAAACATTTAAAATTAACCAGACGATGGCTTCTGGTCAACTAAACTATCCCTTTTTATCATTAGTTCTGTAATCTGTATTTAAAATACTTGCTTTGAATTTTTTCTTAGCCTCTCTATGTTGTTCAGTATATGTGGCAGTGGCGGCATGCAGAGGGACTGCATGCAAGTTAAAAAAAATAAAAACTTATGGGGGTGTTATATCTCAAGTTTCATTCTTTAGTCTCTCCATTTCTTTCCGGTCGTATGAGAGAAGTTCTGATTATTGCAAGTTTTGGCCTTAAGTACTTCTTGTTGTGTCAGAGTTAAGGAACTTAGTGCATGTATATGCCACTGCTATAATGGAAGACTATTCATCGAATTTAGTTTGTCGAAGTAAGAGTTCCAGTTATGGATATATTTCCTAATGGAGAACTTGTTTTATGCCCGTAGTTTTGAGCTCCGTGTTTGTATATGATTTCAGGATCTTCTATTTTTGGCTTGCAGTCATCCAGAAAATAGAAGCAGTCTGACAAATATGGTGGAATGGCCTGAATGGATTCTGGAGGTCCTGATCTCAAATCATGTGGTAATAATTTGTAGAGCTCAGAGTTCTTCCTATCCTCCTCTATCTTTGCTTTACTTCATTTTTCTTGAATAAAATTTCTTTGTGTGTAATAGATAGATAGACAGATACTCTAACATCCCCGTCTCGAGCCGGTTTAATTAACATACATATGATACAAACAGAAACAGCGGAAGACTTAACTTACGAAAATACGAGCTAACTTTTTTTTTCCTTTTTCATTAATCTTAATTCACATGACATATCACATTGCATACTTCTTCTAATTTAATTCTTATTGGACGGAGAGGAAAATCGGACAGAGTAACCTCTGTAAATCGGACAACTGGGGATTTGCAAATCCCACTCTCAAGGTTCCTGATGAACAGTTTATACCATATATGATTTCAGAAATACCAGATATCTATATAGGACTATATACCCATATATGGGTGCATGCGTAACTGGCTCCGTGCCACTATGTCTAACAACATACATATTTCAGCACATGCACATATCTGAATACACAAATGTACATGCATCAAATATGAACACATGTACAAAACATATACAGACCATATATTGTATAATGGATCAAACATCATGATCCCAAAATGAATAGAACACTATACAACTGTACATATTCTCCAAAAATAACATCTAAAATAAATAGTAGCGTCCGGCCACCCAGAACTCCATATTCTCATACTAGTACCTCTAGCCACGGGTAGTGTCTTTGTCCCGTGAGGGCTCTTCAATTAACTGTGTTCCTGAAATCATATCCCCAAACGGGGTTAGAGACGAATCTCTAGTAAGCTCCAGGTTTATGGAAAACTCTCCATACCCTGGGCTCACTTCCTGCATGACAGTCAGATACATAATATACAAAACATCATATAAGCAATTATCATAACTGAACAAGCTTATACACATATCTTATCAAAGATGCACGCAGTATTTCCCCAGGGAGGACCCCAAGCGGAAATCAACGCACGTAACAAATATCATAACTAAACTGAGCATATATCATTTCAGACAAAACATATCATATCAGAGACGTACGTAGTCATTCCCAAGGGATGACCCCAATCGGAAATTAACGTACGTGTTCCCAAGGGAGTACCCTAAGTGGAACCAAAAACATATTAGATATGTACACAGTCAGTCCCGAGGGATGACCCCAAGCAGACATCAGTGCACATAGGATTAATGGCCAGAGATCATCACATAACAGAGGTATACACAGTCAATCCCAAAGGAGGACCCCAAGCGGAACTCAACATATAGCAGATATATACACTGTCAGTCCAAAGGGAGAACCCCAAGAGGACATCAGTGCATATAGAATCAATAGTTAGAGATCATTACAGAAATCACATCAAATTATATCAAAGTAAACACATCAAATCATATCAAAGTAAACACAAATCATATCAAAGTAAACACATCAAAACATATCATATCACATCATCATATAGCTCTATATGAATGCATCTAGATCATATATCTCATACATATCATACAACCTGACCACAGTCCGTACACTATGGTGGAACACAAAGTAAGAGCGAACCCCATAAACATAGAGCTTACCTCTTGGAGCTTTACAATTTGCTTACTTGAAGAACAAGCTACTTATCTTGCTCCACGAGAATCCAAACGTTCACAATCCCTAGGCACACCTAGAGAAGGAATTCAACACAAAACTCAATAAAATGATATAATGCCATGTAAATATACAAGACACATACTTTATTGTTTATTTTCTTTTTACTTAATCATATTAAGTCATGAGTGGGGTGGTTCTTTGTACAACAAATCCCCACAAAATTCCACATATTCACTTAGTTTTAGGATAGTCCCAAAAGGCCTTTAGAACACTCATTACTCTTCTTAGCACCTAAAAGCCTATTTTTCCCAATTTAAGGCAGAGTGCCCTTTACAAAGGAGCTATAAGATTTCTCTTTGTCTAGTGCCTAAACCCAAACTTAGCCACCTATATAAATTATTTTACGCATAAAAGTATTCTCACTTGGCGAAACAGTTACTCCAAATGTATACCTCCTTTTAAAATGGCCAAAACTCATTTTAAGGCCATACAAAGGAGCTACCTTATTTTCTTTTTTATTTCACCAACGCGAAGGTTCATACACCTTAGAATATTATTCCACGCATAAAAATATGCTCTCTTTGCAAAACAATAACTCCTAGCACATACCTCCTTTGAAAATGGCTATAATCACATATAAGGCCTAAAGGAGGAACTTATTCATTTTTCTTTTTATCTAACCCAACCAAAGGTTTAAACATCTAATTATATAGTCCTTAGGCCGTATAAGTACTCATTCTCACAAACAAGCACTCTAAAAACATACTTCATTTGTAAACGGCTAAGAGGCACATAAAGAAAATCATGCCAATTTCATGATTCCAATGTTTTAATCCATCAAATTCAAGCTTATCATACAACCATAATCATCATTAGGTAATAAAATCCATTTTCCACATTAATTCATCCATTTATGCCTCAAAACATAAGACGCCCCTAAGCGTCATTCAATTAATTCACTCAATTCACAACTTATATATACATATAAACCTTCACAACGTGTCCAATTATTTTTTGAACATCAAACCCTAATTTTTACACCATGGCTGAACCTAGTGGGAGGAGGTGCAAGGGACTTTTTCAAAATTTCAACACATATTCATACTCATTTCACACTAACATCATAAACCATACTAACTCATCATCAATTTCAAATTTCAAGCTACACAATTTTCCATAACATACGCTCATAATATTCAAAACTTAAATCATATAAATCAAACCATTAAAATGAGGATTTCTTACCTCAAATCGCTTATCCAAGGTCCAAAGAGCAAAACCCAAGCAAAGCTCACTCAAAATTCACACTTTTGCACTTGGATGAATAGTGCCACGGATTTGAGAGGAGGAATAACTCTTCCCACACGAGATTTCAGCTCAAACAAAGTGGTGGAATGGATTCACCACGATTTTTACTTGAATTTTCATATATGACACTTTGTATTTTGGTGGCTAGATGAGTGAGAAAGAGAAGAGAGAGAAAGCAAATCCATCCCCCCCCCCCATTTCCATGGCTGTCGCTGGTTCAAGGATAAGAAGGAGAGAGAAGAAATAGGCATTGTATGCGTAGGAGGAGAAAAGGGTTTACAATATGTAAAGTTAAGTTTCTTTAACTAGGTAACAACTTATCTATCTACACACCTTCATTCAATACCAAACTTTACCCAATGAACTAGAATATTTTTCTAGTCATATTTCTAATTTTCCTTTCACTTTTCGGGTAACTTTGCTTACCCGCATTTTTACCCCTTAACTGTCATTTTAACTCATTTTTCACCAAATGTGACTTTATTTCTTTTATTTCTAATTATTCTTCAATATTAAATCCACAACTACTAATGAGGGTTATTATAGATACATGGTACACCAAGGAAACCGCAAATACCATGTTGTTTACACTTTAGATGGACATTCGAGAGGCCAGACTCTCCCAACTAAAGAAAATGATAACTGGACATTCGAGAGACTCTCCCAACTCTATTCTTTTACTCGTTCCTAGTGTACACCAAGGAAACCGCAAATACCATGTTGTTTACACTTTAGAATAAATTTCAGTAGAGATCTCTGCGAATTGCTTGATCTCAGCATACTAATATTTATAATATTGCAAATAAACACTACTTATATTTACAGGAATTATAACGAACTGGACCATTTTTTAAGATCCTAATTTTCCCAATGCTTCATAATTTCTAGCTTATGTTGGAAAGTATCTCCAGTTTAGGAAAATATTTCCTATTTAGGGACTGTATATGTTTGTAAATAATTAGGATTTGATTTGTATGTTTTTTTTAATTTCATAGTTTTTTTAATTTTCTAGTTTTGTAATATTAGAGATTGTATATCATGCATAAATAATATGATTTCCTGAGGATTTCCTCAAGCAATTCATAGATCTCTCTTCTACATGGCATCGGAGTAGGTTCGTTCTCGGCTTGACATTTGATCCCTAAACATAGTCATCCATCCACTCATCCTAACGCTTAAACACAGTTTTTGTCCTCCTTCCAGTTGTCATCTAGGCTAGCACCTAGCTTGACGTAATGGTTTGGATCCATCCAAAAATTGTCGACCATCTCTTTGAGCTCCGTAGGTAGAGACCTTGTCATGTGCCCCCACGTGCAACTCTATCGGTCGGCGTATGAAGTCCGCCATGTTTGCAGTGCCATTTCTTCACTCTACCAACATGTCCAGCTTGCTGGCGCCCCCTTGTCTTGCCTTGGTGGTCACAATCCTAGACCTGGTCCATCCTGGTTGTGGGTTGTTGGTATCCACGCTGTTTAAGTACTCTTCACATGCCTCTCTTGCTACTTTTACATGGCCAGCCAAGTGCAACCAACAGCTGGTGCTAGGCCCGTCTCAGCTGTCCCTTTGAGTTGCCATGGACTCAAGTCCAAGTAGTACTTATGATTCTCAAGGTCCTCATTCATTCGAGAATCGAGATGACAAATTCGTAACGTAATATTCCCATTACTTATAACTTCTCTTGTACCCCTACAATCATCTTAGGCTTGGTTAGCCTACTTTGAACTTTGGTTTCTCAGTCAAGGTTTCTTTGATCATCTTGTGAAGTTAGTATATGATATTCCCTCAAAAATTTAGAGTAAGAAATTTTAAGACATGTTTAACTTTTTGGAACAAGGCTTGCAATCTGTTTTATTGAAATATAAAAGAATTATTTTTTCTGAATTGATACAAATGATTTACACTGATAGGGAGATTTATACAAAAGAGAATGAGAAAAAATAGATAAGGATGACTCAGCAATGAGTCATTAGTCCTATCCACTAATTAATAGAAAAAAAAAAACGTATCCACTAATTAATAGAAAATAAAAACGGAAATTTTAATCCTAATTTTCTACACTCCCTCTCAAGTTAGGAGGTAAATGTTGATCATTACTAGCTTGCCAATC